GAAATTTGCCGACGATACTACGGTCTCTGAAATTGTTGAAAAAAACGAACAAAGTACTTTACAAATGGATATCGATGATATTACTACTTGGTCTATGGACAATTCCTTTCAACTAAACCCATTTAAATGCAAAGAAATGGTAATATCCTTTTCACGATTACCTCCTGTTTTTGAACCTATACGTATTGGTGACCGAAATTTGGAAAGAGTGACAAGTATCAAATCGCTTGGAGTTATATTAAGAAATGACCTTAAATGGATAGACCATGTAAATTCAATTGTCTCCAAAGCAGCTAAACGTTTATATTTGTTGAGGCAACTCAAACGTGCTGATGTCGCTTCGGCAGATTTGGTCAAATTTTTTTGCAGCTGTATAAAGTCTGTCCTCGAATATGCGTGCCAATTATTCCATAGTTCCCTGCCACGAAATCTTGCAAAAAACATTGAACGTATACAGAAGCGAGCAATGAAAATAATATTCTATGAATTGTCTTGCGACGAGGCTCTTAACATCGCTGGTATTTCCACTCTCGAAAACAGACGGGAGTATCTATCCAATAATCTCTTCAACGACATTGTTTTAAATGATGATCATAAACTTGCCAAACTTTTACCATCCAAAGCAGGCAATAGAGAATTACGAAAAGAAAGATCTTTTGAAGTTATACCAGCAAATACAAATCGTTTCGGAAACTCTTTTATCAACTTTTATGCTAAGAAACATTACAAATTAGATGTTCCTTGAACATTTTAGAATTTTTAACTCATATAGATTAGTACATTCAAGTATATGATATATAGTATATATTAACAATTTTTAAATTGCATTGTAATATAGAATTTTTTACTATTTATAACCTTGTAACACTTAACGTCATGTAATTCAGTCTTCTGACTGCCAGATGATGTTTTTATTAAACAAACTATTCATTCATTCATTCATTCATTCAATTTCAGTCGTATTTAATTCGTCGAATTTAATGTGACAATTATACGACAGAAATTTGACGGAAGAGTTGCGTGCAGTTTAAACGTCGAATTTTGGTCGGAAAATCAAAACATACGGGTGTTGCAGGCTGTAAGGTGGACAAATAAAGGCCTATAAAATAAAGATGGCGGCGTTCACAAAAGCAACTATCTTGAAACAAATCCTGAAAATTGGAAGAGAAAGGCGTCAGAAGCAATTGCAAATTTTACACTTGGTGATTTATCGAAAAAGGAAGATTCTTCGGCTATGCTTGGCACTGCTTTCCAATTTGTGTAAAGCGAAAATGCCCCGATTTCGTTGATGTCGTCGGCTTGAAAGATCAGTACAGTGGAGTTATTTGTGAGACTATCTGTGGTCAAACTATTCTGAAAAGCGTTTTAAGAATACTTTTCGCGTGTCACGACAAATCTTCACAACCATTCTTCACAAGATTGGAGACCCGTTGGAGAAAAAATTAAAACAGAGCTGCCAGTTTCACCAGCTTGTCGATTAGGTATTTGCCTGTACCGATTGGGACGAGGGGACTATTATTACACACTTTCCGAAATGTGTGGCCTTGGAGTAACTAACATTCATAAGATTGTCATTGAGGTGTGTGAAGTAATGGTTACACATTTATGGCAGGATTATGTGTCTAGTTATTTTCCATTGACGGAAGAACATATGAAAGAGAAAATCATTGATATGGAAGACATTTGGCAATTCCCTCGCTGTTGGGCTGCGGTGGATGGGTGCCATATTTCAATTAAATGCCCTGATGGAGGTGCTAAAGCCGCGAAAGAGTATCATAACTTTACGAATTTCCATTCGATTGTTTTGATGGGCCTTGTTGATACCAAATATAGGTTTGTGTGGGCCAGTGCAGGGATTCCTGGTAACACCCATGATGCTATGATATTGCAATCAACACAGCTTTGGAAAGACATAGTGGAACATAATTCAATTCCTTCAATGTCGAAGGAAATATGTAATGTAGAAATTGGTCCACTCATTGTTGCAGATTCTGCTTTTCCATGCACAACATGGATTATGAAGCCATATAGCAATGCTGTTCTATCACCAGAAGAAACTTTAATTATAGGTTGTCTCGGGCAAGGATGGTTACCGAATGTGCATATGGTCAGCTGAAGGGCAGATTCCGAGTCCTGTTCCGGAAATGTGAGTGCATTGAACAGACAATGAAAATTGTTACATTAGCCTGCATTGTTCTTCACAATATGTGTATTGAGCATGATGACCCCCTACCACCACAACCTGAAATACCGACTGATCCTGCAACGTTGGCACGACGTGATAGAGAAGCTGTTAGAGAACTGCTTAATTTGCGACGTTGTGCAAAGGTTAATGACTCTTCTATGCAGGCACGAAAAATTCGGGTAGCATTGACAAAAAAGCTATGAAACGAAAAGCAAGGACATTCTTAACATTTACAACTGAACGATGGTGATGAGAACATAGATTAAAAGTAGTAATATAGAGGCCGTTCGACCCCCTTTTTTGGGGCGGCGCGGGGCGGCGCGGGGCGGCGCGGGGCGGCGCGGGGCGGCGCGGGGCGGCGCGGGGCGGCGTGGGGCGGCGCGGGGCGGCGTGGGGCGGCGTGGGGCGGCGCATCATCCTTAGCATACGTCATAATTACATGCAATGACGTCACGCGGGTAGGATCAGGCAAGTAATGACGTCACGCGGGCGAGCTTAAACACGATCGGGCGAAACTTGCTG